TAATGCTGGTATTTGTGAGTCAAATCTTGAGGTGAGGGTGTTACACCTTTGTGCTTATTATATTTTAAAGATTCTTGGTGGGATGAGTTAAGAGAATTGCTTAAAAAGGTCGTGTCTATAAGTGTAGTTAGATTGCTCGAGGACGAGAAATGTTTAAGTCTGGGGTATTGATGTGTGGCTATAATTCCATATTTTAGTACATTATTTACCTTATATTTTATGTGATTTAATGTTAAATTATACTTTATTTGCGTGTAATGGAGTCTATTTTATGTGTAGGTGAATTGGAGATGAAATTAGAGCAAAAGGAAGATGTAAAGAATAAAGTGTGCACGAAAACTGTGGAAAGAAGAAAGAATGAATTAAGCAGTGAAAAGATGAAGAAGCTCGTGAGGCGACCCTTTGATCTCGCATGGAAGCTGGCGAGGCGAGCCTCTGAGCTCGCGTAGGAGCAGGCGTCGCGAAGGATGAGGCGAGCTCGAGCTCGCGTGGGAGCTGGCGTCGCACGGTGTTAGGCGAGGTTCATCTCGCGTGGAGCCTCGCGAGGCATGGTCTGAGGCGCGCTTACTCCGGATTTTGAAGGTTTATTTCGTCTCCTTATTTGACTAGAACTTGGCCTATGTCGTTTAGGTCTTTCCCTACACATATAAATAGACATTAAACACCACTTTTGGGGGAGTTTTGCGATAGGAGGCAAGAATAGCTAGTGGAACACTCGTTGGGAGATAGATCATCGATTTCTACATTCCTTCATCTTTACTTTGTAATTAATTTATGCAAAATACTTGGGATATTGTTACTATGAGTAGCTAAACTCCTAATCTAGGGTTTTGATGGAACCTATTGGAGGATGATTTTCTTGTTACTTTAATATAGATTTGCCGTAGCTTTTTCTCTATTTGTTCAACTACGTTCACATTGTGGTTGGTTGAAGAGCTCTCAATTGACTGTGCCAATTTAGTGTGTATTACTCGGAAGAGAGTGCATATTTAGGTAGTTATTGAACAACATCACTCCTAACGTATATGAGGGTTCAATACGAAGGGTTTAAAGGTGGAATTAGGAATAACGAAACCTTGGTGCGATCCGAGTGAGCCATACTTAGTGCCAGCTAGCGTAATTCGGAAGAATATGTCTAGTAAATTGTGGTAGTTACTCGGGAGAGAATTACAACACTCAGAGAGCTCATGATCGGTAGAGAAAACTTAGGCAAATTTATAGAGAACGTAGCGGAAAGGATTCCGACAATAGGGGAAATCATAACGTTAGATATTCCAAATCTTGTCTACAACTTGTTCGTAGTTAGTTATTAATTACTGCATTTTCATTACGTGATATTTAGTTAGTAAACATCCAATTTGTTATTTAAATATTTCTGAAGATTCATTGTGTGAATTTGTGCGAGTCCAGTAGTTGTGCTTAATAGGTTAATTCCCTGTAGGATTCGACTCCGGACTTGTTAACCGGAATATATTTGCAACGACCACTTAGTCCTTTTTATAAGGTATAGTTGGGTGTGATCATCCTCCATGCCTACAACTGAACAAAAGATAGCACTAATATACAAGCTTCATTATATCTTGAGTTTATGTTAAGTATATAGTTTAGATTCAAATAATATCAATAAGTGTGAAATATGTACTGAAGCTAAAAATATTAAAAGATTTACTTTTTTTATAAATAGAGAAACTGAATTATTATTCTTGATTCACACAGACTTAGTATTTTAAACAAACTATAACTAGAGATGTTAAACAATATTATGTAATATTTATTATTGATTTTTCTAAATTTACTAAGTTGTATTTGCTTAAAAATAAAAATTATATCTTTAATACTTTTATTTCTTACAAAATTGAGATTGAAAATAAACTTAGTAGGAAGATAAAGAGAACTAGACTTGACAATGAAAGGGGATGTTTACTTCTGACGGATTCTTATGAAAAAGAAGGAATAATTTACAGAGTAAACTCTCCTTAGTTACTCGGTCTAACAAAGTAGTTGAAAGGAATAATAGAACATTGAAGCAATTAAGCAAGTGATGAACTCCACATAAGTAACCGATTTCTGAAAAGAAAAAACAAAGCCCAAGTTTGAACAAAGAAAATTAGAGAAAGAAAGAAAGAAAAGTTATGGACCACAAATTCCAAAAATCTGTGGTTCGACATGTTAGGACCGAAAAAATATCAGGTGTCATGCGGAAGCTAGCACAGCAAATTTTGAACGATGATAAATCACACAACAAAGAGAAATCTACCAAAAGAGACACAAACATTTAACGTGGTTCGGTAAACTGATCTACGTCCACGGCGGAGATGAGCAATCCACTATAATAAAAAGAGAGTACAAAATATCGAGAGAACAACCTCACGAAGAGTCAAACACAAGTGACACACTAACACTTGTCCCGTAAAGTTCTCCCCCTAAACAAGACTCTCAAGTCCCTATGGCTACATTGTGGATGTTACTGAATGAGAAGGACGGATCCTCAATTTATAGAACTCCAAACATTTTCCTACAAGAAAAGGGACTAGCCAAATATGAAAGAATTATATTTTCCTTCTAGAAAAAGAAAAACACAATTATGGTAAATATGTTGTCATTTCCTTCATGAGATAAGAAACCCAATTATAGTAAAAAAATCTGGACAAATACAACTAACCCAACAATCCCACCAAGAAATAAGGATGTGTCATATATTGGTCAAAGTCTCAATTGTAACTTTGCTTCCAAACTACTCAAAGATGGAAAGATCTATTCCTGTGTTTTGAATGAGTTGTTGTCATCCTCTCCAAAAGCATAAAGCTGCTGCTGCCATTGGTACGTACAGTACAGAGGGACAATTGAACATGATTACAAACTACTTTCCCTTCACTTGAAAGTATAAGATATTTGTTCTCTATATCCTTTGGAGAAGTTTCGGAAAAAACATTTTTGTCAAATGGGATGGAATATTCTACTACTCCCTCCGTTCCGATTTATATGACATATCGCTTATGTTGAGTCAAATTGTTTGAAATTTGGCCAATATTTTAAAATATTTTTTTTATCATATTGATATGAGAAAAATTGTAACTTATAGTATTTCTCGTATAATTTTTGGATACTAAAATTTTGATTTTAAAATATGAACTAATCAAATTTAGCTTCAAAATTTAATCAAATTGACTTTTGAAAAACGAAATGTGTCATCTAATTTGAAGCAGATGGAGTAATTGTTTTCTCATTCATGTTCTGCAAGTTTTATAAGCTGTCACTAAAGGGTACTAAACAATTGTAAAATCTGCCTAAATAGAGTAATCAAACAAAATGCAACTACACGGTTGACGATCCACAACTTATCAAGAGGTCGTATATGTAAATTGCATAAGAATTAGAACAGTCAATTTTGCCTCTAAATGTATATCATCAGGAAAATCTAATATCAATTCTAACCTAACAGATAATCTGCCTTATTTTTTATAGAGAATTATATATTGATATACTTTTCGGTGATTTAACATCTCAGGGATAAAAGGTAATAATATCATACATCTAGTAACAAATAGAACATGATTTAAAAAGAAAGACCCACAATTTAAAAATTAATTGCATGACTATATAAAACTATAGTTTTGACAAAATATTGTTAAGGGCTAGGACCATGTTATCATAGTACTCCCATACACGTGGCACATCCTTATCCCTAGCTGCAAAATCCAATCTTGAAACAGTATTGAACAAAATGGAGTAAAGCTTCCTCAACTCAGGCCTCTGTTTTCCTGGGTTAGCTTGGATTATGGTGTAGATATCTTGTTTAAGTAATGCTGAGCTTTTTCTCAAAGCCTTTTGAGCTTCTTTCCATGTTTCTGCCTCTAACAATTCTTTGACTTGTAATAAACTCTTTGCATGGCTTTGAATTCCATCTTCTGCTTCCTCAAGTGTCTGGTCTGGAACTGTGATTCTGAAATCAAAGGCATTTGCAGTTTTTTCACTTAAAAGAATGAATGAAGTTGCCCCAAGATTTAGACTTGTTCTTCGAGTGAAGTGGTAGGAATGGAGGCACATTTGAATTCTGTTTTTGCTTTGGTTTAGGTTAAAGGGGTTGGAAATGGAAGAAGGAAAAGGAATTAATGGTTGGATTGGTTTTTGAACCAAAGGTAGTAGTGCCATTCTAAAATATGGACTTATTGATTTTTCAAGATTGAACAAATTTAATTGGAGAATATCTGAATAACTCAACGTACCTGAAACAAAATCTGCAAAACGTAAAGCCAGAGGAAAATAACTAAGAAGCCCCCGGCGAGGATCGAACTCGCGACCTTTCGCTTACGAAGCGAACGCACTACCACTATGCTACGGAGGCCTGTTGAAATATGTTCCTCAGAAGAATTTTTATATAGATGCAATGTACTTTGCGACACATCTATTTTTCTATTCATGAAGATACTATACGAGAATAATTGACCGATCTTGTTCGTTATGAACGATTTTGGGCCAAGAGACAAGAGTCTAAGGTGGAGGGAAAATTGAAAAATTATGTGTGAAACCAGGGTAAGAGCATGTGGCTATTCTTGTATTTTCATTTCCAGTACTAATTAGATTCTACAGTAGCTATTGTCATTTGAGTTAATATTCATATTTTACTGTTTACGATCATAAAAAAGGTATTTGGGAGTCCCTTTGTTTTTCATTTGTCTCATTTTGTCCAACAAGACCAAACAAGAATGTATCATCGAACATTGTTCAAGGAAAATAATTCTAATTGGTAGTATTGACGGTAACGTACGTCAGACCACCTTGAATCCTTGGATTAACAAATTCCAACGTATTTGCATCCCAAAATAGACAAAACCACGTAAGGGCCAGATATTTTTTCATCAACCCCATCTCAAGAAAAAAGAGAAACAGATACGTAGAACATGATGTTGCTATTCTTGTAAAACCAAGAAATGGTATTTTTCACAAGTCGAGAAATGTACCTTAACAAAATGAAAAGGAACAACAAAAAAGAAAAGAGGCTAGCTGGTAAAAAAATCTATAATTCTGCATAACAGGATGCAAAACAATACATATACTGGTACATTTTCTGGACAGGTGATCTTCACTAAGTATGTTGGTAATACAATTAAGAGGAAATTATTCCTTTACATAGAACCCAAGACGCAAATGAGTATTTCTGAATTATTTTACTACTCAATAATTAGGCTGAGGAGGAAAACAAAGAAAAAACAAAGAGAAGTCAAGAGTAGAATGGTAGAGATATAGTACTACTTTCCAAATAGCTGTCTACGCCTAGTTGGTTTTGCTCTCAAACCAGCACCATCACCTCTCACTATCTCATCAACTAAATCTTTAAAGATCATCCGCTCCATGTCCAAGACTACAGTTGATAACTCACCAGTGAATATCGTCCAACTCTCTGATCGATGCATCACATCCTCAAGCAATATGTTTTTCCACTCATCTTCCTCATCCTCCAAGTCGCTTTTTGATGGTTTAGCTTGAAGTAGTTCTATCTCCGCGCACAAATCCCTCAGAAGCCTTTGAGCATTCAGAGCGTTCTTTGCTAGCTTCTGGTGTCTCAACCATGGCTCATAAGATGGTCCCACTAACGCCAACTTTCCAGCAAGAATCTCATTAACAACATCAAAGATGAGTTTCCGACGTATCTTTTCCTTCGGCTTAGACTGCCTCATCTTTTCATTGCAGAATTCCTCCTTAACTAAAGTGCTTGCTTTGGTTTGTTCCAAGACAAGGAACAGCTCCGGGTTGATGGGGTGACCTGATGGATGGAACTGGAAACTTGTTAGGCTTGAGCCGAGATCCCTGAGAAGGAGTCCTGAAGCCAATAAGATCTCTGAAATGTATCTGTGGTCTGGGTTTGTGTTCTCACAGAGAGATGCAATATAATCCGTGCGAGCCTCATCATGGTTGGAATTCAACCTCCTGAGCTTCTGAACCAAATTCTCAATGTTTTGTAATTTTTTTCGATTGATTTCCGATGAGAGACCAGAATTGGAGGCATCAGTCACAAGAGTATTGGCTCGATCACTCTGTGGCGGACTGGAAAATTTATCAGCACGGCTGCAGCTTTCATCTGTCACACAAAATAACATATGATGAGAAACAAGAAATATCCAACTTCTTAAACAGTACACATATACTGAATAGTCAAAACTGTTTGGATTTCCAGAAGGACAAAAGACTGACACCATAATGGAGACGCTTTTCTGATATTTCTTGCTGAACGCTGACTACAATATTCACTTGAGCAGCTTTCAAGTATTTGCAAATGATCTTTATTTTCATACTAAAATTAGAGCTGTAATCTGTTTAGTTTTGGAAGGTAAAAAAAAAAGAGATCTGAATGCAGTGAATAAATTTGTGTCTGATGTGGATGGCAGTGCCAAAATTGTGATGTGCAACTGAAAAAATCAACTGAAGCAGCAATGTATAAGGTTTACCACAATTTTGGTTTGTTCCAGGTGACATAAGTGAGCAGAACATGAAAGCATAAAAGCCAGAACGGACAAATTTAACAGACATAAAGAATACACAAGTATCCACATAGATCTATGTGCCTTTTTAGCTTAACATGTTATTATTCAAGTTTTTTTGACTGACATGAAGGGGGCATCTGTATATCATACTAGCGTTCATTGTTTGGTCAAATCCAAGGTGGCTTAAAAGCACCAAGTATTTGTTCCCTCAAAGTGATTATAGTTGGTTGCTGTAGCTGGGTCTGTATCTCCTATGGAACTTAGTTGTGCATTTGCTTTCGCTGTTCTGGAGAGAGATGCTCACACTTTCACATCCTAAAAACTTTCTTAACTAAAAATTTTCCTTAAGCTGTTCTTGACCTATTTTATTCAGAGTTGAGTCTCCCTTCTACTTATTTTTCCTATTAACTTATTTAAAATTCGTTGGTATTCACTTGTATAACCATGGCATGGCATAGTGAGTCCATGCATTCAACACCCACCCACCCAAAATAAAAAATAAAAAGAGATGAATTGGCACATATTAGTCATTGAACAAGTGTTAAAAGGGCAGCCCGGTGCACAAAGCATCTCGCATGCACGCAGGGTGCAGGGAAGGGCTGCACCCCAAGGGTTAAACTAAACTAAAGTTTAGGCTTCCAAACAGAAAGAAGTTTCAACTATTTTCCTACCCTTTCTCAGTCTTTTTCAGCAGGCATTTAAGGGGAAAATGTTTCAGCAAATGAAGCAACCTAATAACAAATTACTAGTATCCAGTAGTTAACTTATCATGATTCATTATCGGTGAATATTCCTGCACATGTGTGCCTATTACAAAGAATCTGCATAAGATGTTTATTCTTCAGCTCACTAATATCTACAAATATATCCCCAACATGCCATCACTTAGGTGCTAGTTCAATTCGAGTAGGAACTTTAACTCAAAATAATAGATCTTGTTAGTTCTAGTTATATTTGCTTATGTGAATGTGCTTTTAATTTCTTCACAAAATACTAGGGGAAAGCAGCACCTTTCACGACTGTTGGAGTATGCTTCACAGGGGAGGGTGATTCATCTGTATATACGGCATTGTCAAGAACCGAGACCGGACTTGGATACTCTGGGGCAGATTCAGCTAACAGTTCATCCTCAGAGAGCACCAGAGATGATTTCTGAAATGAAAGTCTCAGCGTCAAGCATATTATGGTATGGTTCAAGTACTCCATATAAGGCACAAATAAATGGAAGTTTCTTACCTTCTCTACCAAGTCACATCTCAGGTAATTGGACACATCAATAGATGAACTCCGGCTGCTTGTCACCTCAGGAGAGCGCTCAAAACTAGTGACTTCAGAATATACTTTTGATTCTGCTACTACATTCCCATTGGATTGACCAGAAATCTCATTCCCACGGCAACTCAAATTCCTTGATTCACTACTGATCTCACTCACATGGCCATCATTTTGATGGATGTTTGAAACTCTTGGTCTACGTCTTCCACCTGGGGAACTAGCCTCTGTCTGTTGCTTGTTTGGCTGTCTCCTCGATCTGTTGGAATCAGATGGAGGCGTGGGTGGCCGAGATCTTTTCTCTAGCTCCAGTCTATTCTGTTGCAATCTTGGGCTGATGGATCCTGAGCTCTTTATTGAGCCTGATGTGCTCTCTTTAGGAAGCTGTTGGGATCTTGTTGAAATTTGTGTAGGTTTCGAAGTTCTTCTTGCTTCACTGGGATTCACTGAACTGCTGCCATAACTAGTTCTTTGGTGATGTTCTTTAGCAGTTCTGCTAGTAGCATTACCCTTTCTTCCGTAGACAGAGTCACCACCATGAAGTTTGGGGAAAGTGGGTAATCCATCAAGTGGAATCATCGAAGAAGCAGGAATATCAGATTTTTCCACTAATTTTGCTGGCTTCATGATGACTATTGGGGATTCAAAATTCTTTAAAGAATTTGGCCCCCTCTTTGTTGGAGCAGTCAATTGATCACTCTGCCTCATCCTCTGGTTTACCAGTTTTCCACTCTGTGCATAACTCGCAAACTTCTGGTGATGGTCTTTCTGACCAGTAAAATTTGAACCCTGCTCCTCTTTTTCTGTCTCCAGGAGACCCTTTACCTGCATTGCCTCCAATATCTGTTTAAGAGCTCTTAGATCCTTGCCTGACTGGGTGAATTCTAGATCCTTCAATCTCTTTTCAATCTCACTGTAAACAGAAGGAAATGGGCTCGCAGGCTTTAACGGAGCTTTTATGATCCTGGATATAGGTTTCTCATACACCCGAGTCTTATCAAGTTGCTTCCAGGGTGCTGGTTCAATGGGAAACCTAGAAATAGGTTTCATAGCCATATCAGGGTTTCTCCACCGAGGAGAAGTAGGTTCTTTCCAGAGGTTCTTCGTGGAATTAGGAGTTCGGATAGGTTTGCATGGCTCAGATACTTCTGAAGACCTTGGAAAAGAAACAGTTTCTTCAACTTGCGAAGATTTGCTCGAACCCGTCTTGCTGTCAGTTGATGACACGGCATCAGGTAGTGTTTCCAGACCCATTAGCTTTGCCACAACACTAGGAGGACGAGCCTGAGTTCCAGATGTTTGCAGAAGAGGAGGTGACTTTGCATTAGTATTATAACCACTATCCTTCTGCATAGATTTTGAGGAAAAGTTAGACTTTGGTTCTGAGTTCAAGCTTCGTACTGGACTCACTCTACTGTCCAAAGAAAGTCTTGGTAGCTCTTTCAGCTTTAGAGCGGATTTTGAAATGTCTCGCGATTCAAAGGGTAAAGGATTTGTTTCCCTCCCATCACATGAGAACCGAGGAGCATCTTTTGAGATTGACGATGTAGAAGTGTCTTTTGAATGATATGATAATGATCTTGTGAGTTCCCTATGTTCATTTGAGTACCAAGGCGCTTCCCGAAGTTTTGCAAGAACTCTGAGAGATTCCTTAAGATCAACAGGCGAATTCTGCTTCCCATTATCATAAGCCCCATCAAAGGATTTCAAAGTCTGCACTGGCCTAGGGGAATCACTGGGCTTCAACATAGATTCTGTCACCTCTTCTTTCATTGTAGGTCCAGCAGAGAACCTCTGAGCTTCTCTATTCATAGAATCCTTAACCACATCCCGAATGTCAAGAGATTGCCGACCAAATTGCGGTGATGCATTTGGTTGGCCTGCAGCTGAGTCTCTTGAAGGAGTTTCAGCAAAACTTAATCGATCAAAAGCTAAGGGCTCTTGTTGACTTATTTTATTACAATCAAGAGAAGAAAAAGAAGATGAACGTGAAGAAGATGAGAATGATGGTCTCGACGATTCTGTAGACAATCTTTGTTTATCTTGCACAGTCTTGTTTGTGTGGCTTTCCTGCAACAAAAAGTGGTGTCATCAAGCTTTCAAGATATAATATTAAAGATATTCAGTTATGTAAAGATACAAGAGTCATTAGACACTCGCAGACTTGGTGAGACGGACTGAAATAAGTGGAGTTTAATCTTACACATCAAGTTTTAAAAAAAAAAGGAAAATACAACAATATATCTGAATTACAATTCATAACAAAAAGAAGAAAAGAATTGCCCAGTTGTTATCAGACATCAGGCAATCGTTGACTATGCAAACAAATAATTCAGCAGCGTCAATGTCCTTGCCAATCACATTCAGTATGAACTGTTTGATGTTCATGACCATATAAATACTCAAACAGGGGCTTAAGTGTCAAATACTTCTCAAAATTGATAGGGAGAGACAGAGAGGAGAGATATCAAGTTAGCACAAATAACTCTTACCATAGCTGCTGATTTTTGGTATGTATTAGCATACTCTTTTTCAGAAGTGTCACTGCCAATGTGAGAACTACCTGTAACAAATGAGATTTACATGATGTTACAAAAATGATTTTGTAAGAGATCAATTGAAGAATCCTAGAAAAACTGAAGCACCCCTATCTACTCATAAAAACATAATTGCAAAAATCTTGCTATATCCTTTGGGGAATCCTAGAAAAACAAAATTCTTTTGAGCAGTAGGAAATTGTGAGGCAAGAATGGTGGTCAGTTTTTGAGAAATGAAACCCACACTAGAATGAACCAGATGGTTTAAGTGTTGACATAAACATGGATAGAAAGATAAAATCTTGATTCCCATTTCCAACAAACAAGCAAAAACTTGTCAAATGTTGTCATAAACACATTTTACAATGAACCAAATTGGGCAGAATGAAATACTAAGTATTACCAGAGGTGAGCCTTTTGGGGCTGTTGCCAATAAGGCGCCTACTAGCAAGCATACTTTGGCGATCAAATAGTTGCAAGATTCCTGTCATACATCCAATTTGTTTCTGCAAATCTTGGTTCTCTTCAGTCAATGAATGTAAAAGCTTGGCAGCCATGGTCAAACTCAAAGCTCTTCACTACACAGCTGGAACCAGTTCTTCACACCACACAAATCAAACAAGAATCTGGGAAACCTATCCTACGCACCATTCTATGCTTTTGTGGTTGTTGGCTGTCGCAACCCCTCAAATCAACTCCAGCAGCATAAATCAGCGAATATCTCTCAATGGTTTAAGTTTCACTAACTTTCACCTAATTAATCTTTCAGTTTTCATCATCTAGCAACACCCCCTGAGATCAAGATTTGATTTTTACTACTGAGAAATCAAGTTTAATGGACTTGTTTTCTCCAGTAACTTCACAAATATGCCAAAATTTCAGTGCTTCAATCTCTTACCAGAAAGAGCTGAGATACCCAAAAGAACAAATTAAGTTTCTTGGAACATATGAGACCAAATTAAGCTCAAAGAACGCAGTCACCAGAAAATTGTGCAAAAAGCAATGATAACATCAAGAAAGTGAATATCAATAACATTAGTGCAAGAACTGTAAGAGGGTCATCTCTACTAGTAAATGTTTGAATGTTATTTTCTTGGAGAATAAAAGGAGAAACAAGAACACCCCACACACAATGGAAGAGATTGAAACAAGTACTGTAGTATTAGTTAGAGAGAGAAAGAATGAGAGAGAGGGGAAATGGGTACATGTGAGTGACAATGAGTTGATAGTAAGGGAGGAGTTGGCAAGAAATATTAAAGAATTACTGTTATCTAACATAGTTAGTACTAGTATTATTATTATGGTTTTAATGTGGAGGGAAAATGCAGATGTCTTGCATTTGCAGGCCTTACCTTCCCTCATCCCATGTGGATTGATTACATGCTCTAAATCTGTCTGCATCCTCATGTGCTGCTGTCAGGCATTCTTGAGATCTAATTAGCCTCACTTTGCTTTCACAGATTAGTTTGCAAAACACCGTTTAGCTGCCATCAATCTTGTTTATGTTGTGTCTTGCTACGGTCAATTTGCACGTATCTTGTTATTTTACTAGCAAAAATATACAGTAATTGTGACCACTAATATTTAAATAAATTACTTTTTTTTTTTTGTCTGATTGTCATTGAGAGAAGCAACAATTACCCTCCTAACAATTTATAGCCTGTTTGGCCAAGCTTCTCAAGAGGCCAAAGCACTTTTTTTCCAAAAGCACTTTTTTTTCTTAACTTGAGGTGTTTGACCAAGCTTTTTTGGAGGAAAAAAGTGCTTTTTGGAAGAAGCAGAAGCAGTTTTTGAGAAGCAGAAAAAAGTATTTTCTTCCCAAAAGTAGAAGCAGAAACAGTTTTGACTTTTCTTCTTACCTAAAATACCCTTAACAAAATATAGTACTATATACCAAAATAACCGTTAAACCTAATACTTAGGATATTAATGTATAAGTATCTCTTCTTATACTTTAGGGTGAATGCTTTTATACGTGTTGAACAAATTTTAATATATTTAACTTATATTAAAAGAATTAAGTACTTTTTAATTTTATTTTCATACTTTTCTTAAATAAAATGAAAAGATTTAATTATTGCCTATAATAAAAAAAATTAAGATTATTTATTTACTTATAATATCAATTATTAGTAAATCTATTCATGTCCGCATTTGTAATTTTATACTTAAAAGCACTTTCTAAAAAGTTTGGCCAAACACAAATTAATTGCTCAAAAGTGCTTTTTAGAGTGATTAGCCAAACACAAGATGTTTCCCTCCAAAAGTACTTTTTTCAAAAACACTTTTGAAAAAAGCACTTCTCAAGATAAGCTGATTTCTCCCGCTTGGCCAAAGAGGCTATTACTTTGGCTGCTCAGCTTTCTCTCTCTTTTTCCTTCTTTTTCTATAGGAAGGGTACGGGGG